GACAAAGTTTGGGGGATTTCGATTTTTCCATCTTGCACACCTATCCGCGGTATTTACAGAAAGTCGCTCTTAATAATTAACTCAAATATCCCTCAGTGATCGCGAGGACTGGGGACGAGGCTGATTCAAGTCCCTTTCAGAGCGAATCATAAAGACACACGAACAAAGGAAAATGCATCTTATTATTTTATTAGCTAACACAGCGTAAATACATCTAATTTTTTCTATTAGCTAATGCAGCGTTCGGGCTCCCTGTGGCTCGACACAAGCTTCAGTTGTAATAAATCTCATAAAAATCGATCACTGATGCTTCGCGTAAACGATAGCACTGCCGAATTGGAAGAAAACCCGCAAGGGCTCTAAATGGAAACCTATCGACTTTTCGCATTTATTCTTCCCTTGTAGTTCAATTTAACAACTCATAGTTTCGAAGACAAGCGCTTTTTGCTGTTTACAACAAAGACTGTCGGATTTTTTTAACTCCACGCAAGCATGAGATCCGCTGAATATCAAACGACAGTTCCGCTGAGATTTCTCATTATACATAATTATGCGAATGCTTAGACAATAAACCAATCAAAATCTCTAACCAGTTTTCGGGTAGCGACGTCACTAGACGGCATGAACGGCTCATCAATTCAGACGTTCCCGAGAGGTGTATGCGACTCGAAGGGATTTCTGACATGTTATTAATATTCCCGAGCAAATCTATCGACAACATGAAAACGAGAAGAAGCGACGATACGCGTGGAGAGTGGTGGAGATGGGGCAAGGTATCTTTCCGCCATTAATCTTTACCACGACTGGCGAAATGTCTAAGGCGGAGTGAAACGGTTTTCAAGGCAGCTTTGCTGAACTTCTCGCCTTACAGATATATCGATTTATCATTCTAAGCAAAATTTTCTTTCTTTTCATTGGCCGAGAGCCCACCACGTGACCTGCAAATAACTGCCTACAAATAATGGTCTGCTCATGCACAATGCCGTCCAACTATGTTTGGCTGCAAATAATATTCTGCACATGCGTAAAGGAAACCGTGCTTTTCTCCTTCTTGCGATAGCTCTTGCGTGAAAATGGCAGTCGACCGCTTCGCTTCCAGAGGATATTCATTAAAAAAACAAATCCGGCGATCGAATGATAAAACAATTATTGAACTCGGTTATCGCAAAATATCGTGATCTGTCAGTGTCTCGCAGATCATTTATTTGCCTCAGCCTTCGGCTCCGGCAAATAATTGATCTGCTTGCCACAGAGAAATCACGATATTTTGCTAAGGCTCGTCCAATAATTTTTAAATATCTGTATAGAATCTGACTGCTAGGATATTTTGAATATCTTCTCCCATTTTTCCCCTTTTCTTCGTTCTTAAGGAGTTTTCTTTGTTTTTATACAAATATAAGTTCAAAATTCTGAGACGTCTTTAATTTTAAGATACAAGTTTTAACTTGGAGAATAAGTTTTTTAATTAGTGAAACTAGTTTTTAGTTCATGAGTAGAGATATTAATCAAATTCCGATCAAAGATACTACAACGATATTTATGATCTACATTAATAATTTTTAAGTTTATATTAGCTTATAGAAACTATATTTTTGTAAGTGATAAACACTAGCTTTAATTGTAAAATAAAACCAAATAAAAAAGAATCATTTTACACCCATGCATAGCCATTCGCCTCACAGAAACCGCTATTAACTTTTAAATTTTTCCCAATAAACTAAACAAATCCCCATGTTTACAAACCTTTGCTCCTTCAATCCCGTCTCGTCCATCTCGACCATCTCGTCCTTAGATTGCATCATCAACAACAAAAACAACAACAACAACAAAGCAGTTTGTTTTCCTTGCTATACATGTTCTTAAAAGGTATTAAAATAATGCTGGCTATAGCTATATCGCTAAGTGCCAACGAACAAAGATTTCACCTTATCGCGTGCGCTGTTCAATTTGTTTTTAAATAGAAATGTCATGAATTACCGTAATTTACGAGAATACGCGTATAGCTGTTGCATTTGCCCGCTGCTTTTAAGTCTAAAAACACTAAAACATTTCAGCGGACAAATGCGAGAGCTATACGCATATGTTGCAAATGAATCCAGCCGACGATTGGTTGAAGACGGGATGAGCACGGAACTCACAAACTCGCAAACGGCTCTGGATTATCTGTTTTGTATCAAGTGTTGAGCTGTGTCCGCTCTAAAACAACGCATTCTCTGTTCTGCATTGCGTCATAAAAGTTACCTTGTTATGTTACATCACTTCGAGATTCATTCTGCCTTGGAACTTTCGCGCACGGCTTTATTAGGGTGCCGCCTCGCAGACGCGAGGCTGCTCGTTGGCAATTATAACGAAGGTAATTTAAGAAACCTGCCTAGCCTTTGGAAAACGAAAAATGGTCGGAATCAGCTTGTGAGCCATGACTTGAAGAAATTATCTGATGCATGAACCATACTTGCAAGCTATATTCTTAAAATTATCTTAACTTCGTGCTGTTGTTAAGACCAAAATTGATTGAGTTGGAGGAACGTTTATATCACCTTTGCATCATACGACACGTTAAGAAACTACCCTTGTTTAGCTAACCCCACATTATGCTGACAGTTAAAGCGTCAGTGAGTACCGAACTTGTCTTCCCATATTTTACATAAAACGAACCTGTATCAAGTAAACACTTCACATTAAGAAGAATCTAGCAGCGGTCCTGTGTGCGTCTGTTTAACAGAGATTTTTCACTGTACTATGTCTCTATCTTACTAGTTCTTAGAGTTACTATCTACAAATAGCATACACTATTTCAACTGCTAGCCAAGGATTTAAGGGCTTAAAAAATATTTTTAAAAGTCATTGAATGTTTCAAAGAAGTAGGCAGTTTTTTCAGGTAAATTACGATTAGCCACAAGTTTAAGTCAGTTGTCTCTTGTAGCATAAGAAGAAGAAATACAAGTCACGGAACCTTGACTAGAACCCGCGTCATACGAGAATGCATATTTCTTTCTCATCGATCTAATTCTGTTTCTTCCCAAATCATTTTTAGAAAAAGTTGTCTCCTTAAGGTAAATGCTTCGAGGATACTGAAAAATTATAGACGTAGATATAGCCATTTAAGGAAAATTAATACAGCAATTTCACTCTATTTCATAGACAAAACATTTCCTTTATTTCCTACCGTTATTGCCGTCTCTACCATCCCTTCCTAATAAAGAAAAAAATGAAAAATATCATGAATGAAACTTTGACGACAAGACTGTGATGCTTGAAAAAAAATTAGCAAGAACATGCCACAAGCCGCAGACCACTAGATCTTAAGGTCAGCCAAGAAAAAAAAAACTCCTTAAAGAGAAGAGCATATATTTTTACTGTTGGATACACTGAGTATGAAGATTAAAATTGGCAATAGCTCTGCCGGTGAGGCAGGGACAAGATCTTAACAAAATAATCTCTACCGGTCACTTTCTTCAGTTCATAAGAAATAGTGAACATAAAAGTTGAGATGAAACAGCTAACGCTACACGACAAAAAACGGGCTCGAGTTGTCGGGAAACGTAAAAGAAAGTTTGACTACAGCTTGCATATTCGGCGCATAAGAAAAATAAGGCCTGAAATACTTGACTTGCATGCTGGATGTGCGCATCGGCTTTACTCGCAGAGAGGCACTTACGTTTAAGTTTAACAATTCTGCTAAGATTCGTCTGAAATGTTTTCCTTTATCTTTATTTACAGTGTGGTGTATATCATGTATCCAATTATTGCCAAAAAAACTACAACTAATCACGGGGCTTGAAATTACATTCAGGCAATCCATTTACAAACGAGGAAAACATATCCTTATATCCATCAAAATTTAAGTACAATAAAAGACAGGAATAAGCGATATGTGGGTATAACACCACACAAGGTAGGGATGCTATCGAGCAGCTAAAACACCAAATGATACCACATAGTAAAAGGAAAGTCATAAATACAGAGATTATTAATCAGCATAATGTACAGCCGACTCCCGATAACTCGAACCCTCGCTAATATCGAACCTCTCGCTAGCTAAGTCGAACCAAAATCGATTTCCTGGGTTTGCGTCATATATTTACTGTAATTTTACCCACAGTAACTCGAACCCTCCATAATTCAAACCTCCCGCTACCTCGAAGTATTTTTTCCCCTCAGATCATTTCTATTTAATTTTACCCCGAAAACTCGAACCATGTTTTGAGCGCTTGAAAAGTCTGGAATAAACAATGTACTGGTGTCCGAAACGTTGAATTTTGAATTTCGCATTGACGTGTGGTAGCCATATAGTTTACTAAGTGAAGACTGATGTTGTTTGTCGCAAATTTAACGTGAAGAGCTTTACTTCTCAAAACAGTAAAACGCATGCTCTATTTAGGCTACATTTCGTTATGTTACGTGTTGACAAGAGAGGATAAAGGGGACAGAGAAGGCGTCCCCCCCACACACCCTATTCCAACTAATTCGTCTCGAGTTATTTTTAGAATCGGGATAAAGTTACCTCGCGCGCTGCGTGAATGTTTCGTAGAGGTTTCGCATTACTAAACGCTGTGCAAAATATGTCGGGCGAAAGGCAATGAAAGCGTAAAGAGATCGAGAGCATTTCTGAATATTGAAGCGAAATGAGTCGGCGCTCTCTTGGGAAAAGGGAATCGCTGGACTCTTTGACAACCCGTGAGATCAGTTTAACTCGAAGTTGTCGTAACCTCAGTGCTTTAATAAAATGAGAAATTTCGCCGGTCTATTGAAACCGGTCGTTTGTACAATAAAGCAAGTAGGACGCCAAGTGTTATTTTTTTTGAATAATAAACGACTAATAAAAGAATAAATATCAAACCAGAAATTGCTCTCTTCAAACTGTAAATTATAAATGATCCTGAGAAAATATTCAGTGTGTTATGGATTTCCCTGATGTACTGTTAGCTCTATACAAGAGAGGAAGGGCGATTCTTTTTTAAGTTCCATTTCGCTGACGCCGCTTTAGTAGAAATCTCTCTTTAGTCGTTTTCGTCGACAAAACGAATAGCAATATCGCTCTCCGCGTCTTCCGCCATATTTTTCAGCGTCAATTCGTGAAGGACGCTTGGCTCTGAGCGTGGGTCATCTACACGGGACACATTCGCGCTACGTGATTGGCTGTTGTCTAATCCCCATTGGGATCTGTGGTCTTAAAAATAATTGGAGACGAATTACCTATGGAATAGGGTGTGTATGGGAGATGCCTTCTCTGTCCCCTTTATCCTCTCTTGGTGCTGATTAATGATTTAGTAGTATCTTTCAATTTTCACTTAACATTTCTAAAAGCAAATGTAATTAAAATGTAAACTTTACAGTAAAAACTATTTTTTTCTTACTTCCGGCTATTTTCTAACTATAGGAAATATCGCGCAAAATCTTGATTTCGTAGTCTCCCTCGAAGCGGTTTTTTGGGATGTCACGCAACGTTCCCCCAGAAGAACTTTCATGAAAACCTAGTCCTAAGTTTTGAGTTACCGCAATTCGACGAGTCGCGCTATTTCCCTGATAGTATCTTCTAGTGAAAGAAAAAGAGTTTTTCTGTTGATGGGAAGTGTCCAAATCAGTGTCCGTGCAGCTTTGTTTGAGAACGTGAGGAAAGTTGATGTTAGCGAATTTCAAGTTAGCTGAATTTCAAATTGGGCCATTTTGAGACCCTGGCCTCGAAAAGCGATATTCTAATTTTTCTTGCGACTAAAAAGCTTTTGGCGAAAACAATTCCTCGTTTCTTATCTACCTAAAAGCTATCTATAGACAAAAAGTGAGAGAAATCGATTTTTCGACTCTTGCCACCCAATGCTCGATATTTCCTGACCGTCGCAAAGCGTCTTGAACAGGGTGTCTTTTTCGACCGGAAGGTTGTAAAAGAGTGTGAGGCGATAAGCGGTCTACATTTGTAGTGCGTGGCGATACGGGTAGGAACGTCATGTATGTGGAATTATAATGTACCGAATATTACAATATACAAACTCACATCTGTGATATTAGTTGGATGCATACTTAATTCTGTATGCAAAACGAAACGAATCAGGGTCATAACTTTATGTCTCATGTCCTAAAGATGGTACCTTAGCGAAATGAGCAGGGTTAGGCTTTGAAGGCCTCAGCGGCACACCTCTACTGAAACTGCCCTTGAGTACCCCCCGGGTTTGTAATGAAATTTTAAACACGTTTTTTCAAATTTCTTTTCTAATCCACAAATACTGTATACACCAGAAAAATTTAAGGTATGTTTTATATTCTTCCGGATTTCGTTACTAAAAGTAACAGTGAATACAGTGAAATCCGCTAGTGAGAACATGGTAGGCTAAAATTTGCCAGTTATGCTACCCCTGTACAAGAACCTGTTTACCCTAAAATTTGAAACAGGTTCTTATATTCTAAAATCTATCTAAAAAAATTCTGTACGGCTTGTGCTAATAAGATAAGTCAACATTTAGGATCCTCTTTGGAGACGTAGGTGCCTTATTATTCCAACTGCAATGTAATCGTATGCAGATTTTAAGAATAAGGAATAAGCAGAATACCACCAAAGAGCTACAGTGTACCATTTTCTTTAGAAAATAAGAACCTATTGAAGAACCTAAATAGCCTAAAATTGTGAAAAATTACAATTTTTACAAATAACTGCGCGTTTATTAGCTATTTGCCGATTAGAGACTTTCTCAAGTTCAGAATTTAACTTTTCTTATAACACACTGGTAATATTTCCTGTAACACTTTAAAATCAGAGCCGAATTTAAATTAGTAATTGAACAAAATTGCGAAATTACCAGCTAACCATTGATCAGTGCTAGCCCTAGTAGAGGTAATAAAACGTCATAGCATACTTATTGCTTGTTCATTATTGTTCAATTCACAAAAACGTAATGTCAAACTTTAAGCTTTCTTACCGCTGCAACAAGAGCATTCTCCCAAGTATTCCCGTCCGTTCGAGGTTTGATCAGGAGTTGCGCTGGCAGATACCTGAGTATGATAGAAATCATATGGTAATTAAAAATTTTAGTGAAACGGGATGTTAAGCCTGCAGGCAAGCGTTTCGGTGAAAAAACCGAAAAGAAAAGCGAAAGGTACGTGAAGAGGCTATGGATGGGGGGAGGGGGGATGCAAATGTCAGTTTTCAGTTAAATTTTAGGCTTTTTGTCAGTTGTCACTTAAGTGATTATTAATAATTAACTACGAAACTTATTTGTTTATTATTGATCCAAAATTTAGCTAAAAAGGCACATAATGTAAATTAAACATTAAATTCGAAAACTGATGCCATAGTACCTTAATTTTGACTGGTTTTGCTATTGAAAGCATTTCAAGTGGCCCCTCATTTCTCAATTCCTGTGTTACTCTCGTCCACACAACGTTTTTGCTGGCCAGAGTCCAACATTTCCAACCATTAACCCAATCAAAATTTACCACGCCCGTCAGAGTATTGGGACATAGATCGGAAGAAAGACCAAAAATTTGGGGAGAGTTGTTTATTACGATTAACTTGATTCAGTTTTGATTGGCGATGCCTCGATAGTGATTGTTTAGCCAAAGAATGAAACAAGGTGCTTCTTTAGCTCGAACACCGTATTCACGTCATTTATCGGAATACGGCTTCTGTGCAGTTCATATGCCATATCTGAATCATCTCGGTAAAAGCTTTACTATAATTCCTTTTATAACGCCCTCATTAGCAGCCATTGTAGTGTATGCTGGCGTGTTCTCAGAGGAGCAAAAAATGGAGTCGTAGGTCATTTACAATGGATGGTACATGACACACGGGGTCTTACAGCAAACAGAGTAAACGCTTTAACAAAGTATGACACTCGTTTTAAGCGTCCTGCTGCTAAGATTACCCATATTAACGCACATTTGGGTATCTGATCTCATTGTCTGACGAAAAGAGTGGAACAATGATATTAAAAGGCTTTATAAACGGGTTTTGTAGAAAATAAAGGACAATCAGGTCCTTTGTCAGTTGTCAATAAAACCCGAAGCAAATGACGGTTGTCATTAAAATTTTAGGCGATTTGTCAGTTGTCAGTTAACCCCATCCAGACCCTCCGTGAAGAGGTGGGTGACGGGGTTGGGGGTGGGGGGAGGGAGGTTTAAAAGGTTACTCTCTCTCATTCCATTTCCTTCTTCTTCACCGTCTGTTGGAAATTAAGCCTCTTTTTGGACTTCCCTTAGACTTCCCGCATACTAATTAGGATTTCCTGCATATTAATTTAGTGCCTTCCTCCATATATAATAAAGTGGATAGGTTTACTAATGAGCGTCACTCTACTACAATGAAAACAATAGGCAGGTATACGTATAGGTATAGGTAAATCATTAATATTCACATACCTTCCTGCATACTAATTCGGTATGGGTATAGGTAATAGGTATAGCTAATAGGTATAGGTATAGGTAAATATCATTTATATTCACATGCCTTTCCGCATACTAATTCGGTATAGGTTTACTAATGAGCGAATACTACAATAGGCACAATGGGCTCGCCTCGGCTTGCCTGTTAAGTAACTTGAACCCCGTTTTCAGACCGTTTATTAAAAGAGAAATAGGAATAAGAGAAGCGATCACCTAGCAACGCGAGAAACGGCTTCCTATATCTTATTTAGCGCTAAAACTCAGATATATAAACAAAACACATACAGAAAGTGGAGTTGAAAAGTCTTTATTTCAATTTAGTTTACGTCTTCTTATTTAGCGCTAAAACTCGGATATATAAACAAACACACGCACATATACACAGAGTGGAGCTGAAAACTCTCTATTTCAATTTTGTCTGACTATTACAGAACCGTTTTCTCCTTTCTATCTGGAGGAAATGAACAACTATTACAGTCTAAGCGTTTCACGCGCCGTTAGTCAGGTAAGGGAGGGAAACGTTGTAAAAAAAAGATAGCTAGCTTTCTTTGACTATTTTAATATAATCTTTAATCTAATCTTTTTTGCAATTATTGTAATAAAGGGTCATAAAGATGATTTCTTATGTCTTAAGAAACGTGTCTGATTTTATTACTAGCAATTATTAGTCGCGTGTTTAATCAATTGATCCTTGTTAAGTTATTAATTGTTTTATAATAATACTTAAAGATGCTCCCTGCACAGCACAGCTAATTTGTATTTAACGGTGGGCTTGCGAAGTCGCATAATTACCTGACTAACGGCGCGTGAAACGCTTAGACTGTAATAGTTGTTCATTTCCTCCAGATAGAAAGGAGGAAACGGTTCTGTAATAGTCAGACAAAATTGAAATAGAGAGTTTTCAGCTCCACTCTGTGTATATGTGCGTGTGTTTTGTTTATATATCCGAGTTTTAGCGCTAAATAAGAAGACGTAAACTAAATTGAAATAAAGACTTTTCAACTCCACTTTCTGTATGTGTTTTGTTTATATATCTGAGTTTTAGCGCTAAATAAGATATAAGAAGCCGTTTCTCGCGTTGCTAGGTGATCGCTTCTCTTATTCCTATTTCTCTTTTAATAAACGGTCTGAAAACCGGGTTCAAGTTACTTAACAGGCGAGCCCAGGCGAGCCCATTGTGCCTATTGTGGTATTCGCTCATGATCATTAGTAAACCTATACCGGATTAGTATGCAGGAAGGTATGTGAATATTAATGATTTACCGATACCTATACGTATACCTGCCTATTGTTTTCATTATAGTAGATTGACGCTCATTAGTAAACCTATCCACTTCATAACTATGGAGGAAGGCACTAAATTAGTATGCAGGAAATCCAAATTAGTATGCGGAAAGTCCAAGGGAAGTCCAAAAAGAGGCTTAATTTCCAACATAGTAGACTGCCTTCTTCTCGCTCTCTATTTAATCTCCCACCTAAGGAGCCTAACAGGGATGTAATAGGGTAAGTTTAATTTTCAAGGTGTAATCTTCAAGGGGTTAACGTATCGTGTGGATGTGGTACGTTCAATTGGCTGTATTCCGGTTTAAACATTTAATACACAGAACGTATCCTACGTTGTACGCTAGGTATACCTTTCAGTTTGTCAGGTAGGTGTAGAGAGGTTATACTGTAATCGTAGACGATAGGCACAAGCAAGCCATTGTTAAGGCAAATTACGGTTACTCTCATGCGAAATATGACCAATAAAAGGCGCCTTAAATTCAACTTACCTTTTTATTCTTGTTGCTTAGGGAATCAGGTGCTTTGGCAGCAGTAAACGACCCAAGAATACAGAGTGCCACAATTACAGCCAGCTGCTGCGAACGAAACATTTCTGATAACTTACTCTGCAGGACTTGTTTAGACCAGCCGCTATTCGGGTATTAACGTTTTTAATGGTCCGGCAGGTATAACTTTGGGCAATGAAATAAGGATATACTTGGCAACTGCCCATCATTGTCCAAAATAATTAAGAGGCTGAAGTAAGCAAAGTGGGTAGGTCACTTGGCAAATGTGCCCTATTGTTTCCCGAGTACATTGAAAAGACCGCAATAAAAGTAGTGATAAACACTTGGCAAATGTTCCTCATTGTTTGAGAAAAATAAAAGGCTAAAAAAGGAAAATTGTAAAGGTCAGCCACTGCTTCCCAAGCCAATATAAAATACGACAGTAATAGGCTAATGGCACAAGTATTCCTCGTTTTTTCTAGAGTCTTTCTGGGCCTAGTAGAGTAAGGAGGCCAGGTTTAAAACTTTAAACTTGGATAATGTTCCCCCCTTTTTCTCAAGGATATTTAGAGTGGTAGGCCAGTAAGTGTCGCCAAGCTACCTTTAAAATACGACAGAAGTGTTTCTATTATGAAAATCAGAACTCCTGGGGCCGAATTCACAAGGCCATCTTAGGCTTATTAACATGTATCTGTATTTCTCCAAAGCAATAGTCTATTTTCAGAGGTGGTTTCCTTGATCTCCTGAACTGGAAAAAGATCTGAGTTCGACTTGTGGGCACTTCACTACAAAAGGGAGGTGTCCTGTCTGGCATATTTCTAAAATACTCAGACTTTAAAAACCTCCGAATCATCTTCCCTTCTTTGTCTTTGACTCATGAAACACACGGATCCGGAAGCGATCATTTATTCTGCTCCTAGCGTTTGAGGTGCGAAAAGGTCTTATTTTTCTGGGTGCAAATTTTTAATGTGCGCACCGGTTTGTAAGCTTTAATAAGTGCGCAGATTTCTTTTTATAAATTATTAACCACACAAAATATACAGGAGATAATAAAATAAAATAAATAATTTACAACTCCAATAGCTAACAAAAACACTCACTATACAAAAAACGATAGGATAAGTAAATATATATAGTTCTTACAACAATTCGTACTAAATCACTAAGATCACTAAGATAACACTGACACTATATCACATCTATTACTAGTCACACCTAAACTAACCAGTTATGACAAATAGGAATTACAACTAAGCAGGCAATCAGAGGAAGAAAAAAAAATTACCTATTTCAAACAAAATTTTTAAGAGATATTGTTACGCGGGTAATCTTTTAGAGGACTGGTAGCTTGCGAACCAAACTGAACGCAGGGTTGTCGGAACAGCAACAAGAAGATTTATTCCAAAATGAACGTAGTTTCCACGAAGTAAAACTCTACAACAGCCTCCGTCACACTTGACTAAACATGCCTAGCGACAAACTCTTCGCTTGTGAAAACTAGTTAAAACTTCGCTCGGACTCACCTACTTATATACTTTTACAGTAAGATTCTAGAACTTTCCAAATAGTCTAATACCGTAGACTTTCGAAAAAGTCCTTCGTCGGATTTCGACTTGTAGCAAGTCTAAATATACCGCTTTAGAAACGCTTATACAAGACGCTAAAATAAACAAACTATGAACTCTCGCGAAGCTTCTAGAGAGTCACACTAGACAGGCCATGCAATTTTTCGCAACAGATATAAACCATTTTTTGTAGATATCGAAGAAATGTAGCCTATTTGGTACAACTTGGAATTGGTATAGAGGATACCATTGAGAACTTTATACTGAAAAGCTCTTTCGTAAGGTTCAAGAGCCACGGTGTGCGGGAGCTGAAAAATTTGTGTTAATTGCTGTAGTGAAAGATTGAAATTATTTTGTAATTTGTTGATACTTTTGGGAAATTGCGCTTTTCTGCCTTACTAATGTTTTGTATCCGATTTCTTCTTTGATACATCAAATATATTATCCTCTAAAATAAGCTGGAGAGTACTGCTTCTTAAAGAATGAGGTATAGAGTGTCGAAGCCCAGCCCAAACAAGAAAATTAGTTTTGGAAATCTTCTCAAAAAAGGACCAGGTGAAATGAATCCTTGACACTCTTATGCAATTGCCGATCACAGATATAAATTATTCCGAATCATTAGTAGTTTTTCTAAAAAAATTGGCTTTTTATCTTTACGTATATCCTTATTGTTCCAAATTACGTTAACCGGGGGGGGGGGAAGGAAGGTAACTCTATTGTTTTCCACCTAAGTTTCTTGACCCACTCCGACTGCCAGTATGACGTCACATAGTAACGGGCAAGAGCCTGGGGTCGCTTGTGCAAATTAGCAAGGGATACGACAGTTATTTGGGCGAGGGAGGTCGAGGAAAAGCGAAGAAGCTAGCAAATATCGCTATATATCGCTTATTTGATGGAATGGGTGTGAGCTTTGGTGTTGCTATAATCTGCTTGTGTGAACCGTTTTGATATTTTGTGTCCGTGATTGTATAATTTTGTTAATTTGTTTTGCGGGCCGTGTTGCGAGATCGCCATCTATTGCACGGGACCGGTAAGGTCATCAAAACTTAAATCATTTTTTCTTGTTCTAAAATAGGCAAGGTCTAGTCCCCAGAATAGGAGGTTCCATTCACAGATCACACATGTTTATATTTCATCTATTCTTTTCCTAATTAAATGGGCCTAAACTCATATCATTCCTTTCGAGTGTGGGCCTCTGTTGATCTCCTAATTCTCCACCAAATTCAGTAAAGCTAGTTTGATCGACTCAGGTGTCGATTATCTACAGCTAGTCGGACCGTTGAACCCGAAATAATGCAAAATAGCTTTAAAATACGCGCTTAAGCTAATTTTCCTCAAATGTATATTTGAATTCATTTGTCACTGATCATGTGTGTCACTGTGGTGCAGTGGTGAAGGAGTTGCTTGCACGTGCAGATAAACCGGGTTCGACTCCCGGCGACGCTGTTTGCTGTTTCTTTGTACCTTTTTTTTCTGTTTGGTCTCTTGTTTTTAACACTGTTTTTCCTTTTGGCCTTTTTTTCTTTATTCTTACTGCTGACTCTGCTGGTCATGCACTTGGATCAATATATATTTTAAGCTTAAGTCCGGAGTTTTATTTCGGAAAAGCGATTTCAAAAGCTCTTGATCTGCATACTGGTCAAGCTTACGACCAGAAAAAAACAATAAGCTGTCAAGACATGTCCCTCCTCTGAAACAGCTAAATTTTTTTCAATGTTAGTTGATATCAAGACAAACAACACACAGCACACCACAAACTGTACTATTTTACACTCAACAATCACCAGTGACCCATTGGCGAAAGTTAAACTTGCCTTTTGTACATCGTCTTAATCATCAATATTATTACCCTAAAATCTCCGCTCGGTTTGCCCCCAAAAAATAATTAAACGAGACCTTTAATTGGTTTTCGGAATTTAATTACAGAATTACAGGTGTATGCCCAATACAGTATTAAAATGCGGTAAAGCAACAAAATTCAATGCTCACAGTCTCTCACAAATACCTGTCATTTAGCTTCCTCTTTCAACGCTACAGCTAAGCGAACTTTGAGAGGAATGATATGGGGTTCCACTAGCTCTGAAAAGCTGAAAATACAGTAAAAACCCACGAGTAAGAAACTAAGATTTAAGAACCTGTTAGGCTAAAATTTGCAATTTAGACCCCCCCCCCCCTATATAAAAACCTCTTTAGCCTAAAATTTGGAGAAAGGTTCTTATTTTCAAAAATCATGTTATAATATTGTGTTTTACAGCACAATCATGTATATAAAGTTGTTTTGACACAAGAAATTAAAATTCATGTGAGAATAGATCTCTATTATGGTCATATCAAAATATAAACAATCTTTAGGTATGCAAATTTAAGGGCGCTGATCACTAAAATCTTCTTAGCAACGACATAATTTTTTGCAAGAAATTAAGAACCTATTAAGAACCTAGATAGCCGTAAATTTATGTTAACCACCATTTACGTAAGAATCTGTTTAGGCTAACCCTGGAAAATGTAGGTTCTTACTCGTGGGTTTTAACTGTACGCACAATGTAAAGTATAATACATCCTTTGATGAACCTCCTATTGCTGTGTCTAAACTCCTCAATCTTGCTGTGCACTGGCCCTCAAAAGTGTGACCGGTCGGTATGATTGCCCGTAAAATTAGCTCGACAATAGAAAGGAATCTTTAAAATTTGTTACACCACTGGACATTTCATTCCAAAAAAGTACTTAATTCTAGTTTTCTATGACAATAGAAACCTTAAAATCTCCAAATCCAAGAAATCAGAACAGTATTCCCATGGTAAAATCGAAATTTTTATGTCTCTTCGATGAGCACTTTGCTCGCCATTTTGAAAGTCACTGACGCGAGACGTGACGTCATACTTTTTTTAAAATTTATTATTTAAGTTAAATTTACATCACACAAAACGTGTACATATTACAACTTGAAGAAACAAACATAAAAATAGCTGAGGTTACATTTATGCTTGAATTCGCTTAGCTACTTACAATAAAAGGAAAGGACGGTGAACGGTGGACGGTGGATTGCTCAACTTTGCAGGATACATGGCTAAGTCAAAGCGATTAGCTAGAGGGTAACAAGTACAAGCAACAAATTTAAATAAGAAAAAATTTCCATTTGTTTGAAAAGATGGTGAAAGAATTACAGCGGAGTGCTTCTTGTTTTTTTTTTTCTGGAATTCTGGGAATGGTCGAGATGTAAGGACTTGTACTTCGGTGCTCCGCCTTTTGGCGTGTTATTCTTTGCAATTCGACGCCTGCAAAAAGGAAAGATCGACCCAAATCTTCTTCCTCGGACGCCTTTTCGCCCGAGGAAAAAAAAAGTAAAGAAGCCAATCGTTCTACGAACACAAGCAAAGCAGAGGACGAGGTACTAACAGCGCCGTCAATGGCTGACGATCTTGGGAAGAAAGTGGAATGATATTAAACAAATTGCAAAAGCTAGACAATATTGAAGCGCGTCTGGATAATTTACACAAATCATTAGCATCTCTCGAAGAATCTTTTGCCTTTTTGGAAAAG